TCTTGCCACACCCGGTGTAATATTTCATGGCGTTTGTGTAAATTAATGTGTTGTAGATGATACATATTGTTTACAACAGTTATTGAACATGTTTTCGCATGCAGGCTCACATAAGAGCCCTTCGTAGCTCCAATCACGAAACGACTGCGCCATTCAGCGTTAACTTTTCTGCAGACGGCGTATCATTCTCCGGATAGCATCCATGACGAATGAACACCCTGTGTCCAAGACAAGACAGTTTTTTTGCATAGACAGTGAGGTACTAGATGCTACAGAGGTTATGACTTGTCTATTGTCGACTGTGCGTCAGAAACTATCAGATTCCTTCAAGGTAAGTTGAAGGAATTCAAAAGAAAGTAACGCCTTATAAGAAGTCCTAGGAAGTATTGTCTTAAGGCTCTATAAAAATAGGGCACTGTCCAAAACACTTGAGGTACTCAAATGTGATGAAGGAAATGTAATTACGCGTAATAAGAAAATTGAGAATGACAAAAAAATGCGAGAATGAAGCTCGATGTGGTGTTACCACACAAAGTAAGAATTGTGGAGATAAGGAAACAAGATCTACACCAATTCAAACATACATTACCTGAAGAAATTTTTGACGGGACAAAATGCAAAACGTAAACTACTGAATCAAATGGGACAGGACTGACCGTACACCGACAAAGAATCCTTTCGACTTTGCCATTCTTCTGCTTGAGCGAATGTATCTTAATCGCAGCAGCAGAGAGCGCCTCTTTGATTGAGACCTCCGCTTTCTCCACTAAAACAGAAATGAAGTGGCTAGCCCTGAGAGAAAGAGAAAAAGAAATAAGAGGCAGCACAAAATGAATTATGAACGAAAGGATAAAACCAATTGATCTACATACCTCCGTCTTTTGCCACTTCATCAACCATGTCCATCACACATTCAAATATTGGACGGTGTACGGAATCATAGGCTGTGGCATCCACCTAGGAATAGGAACCATTTGCTTCATTGATTTTCACTGGATTCCCTTCAGAAACCCAGAAATATTATGTATAATGCACTTTTTGACCACGAGATTGAGTGCTTTCTGCGAACCTGCGAATGCAGTAAGAATCACCGCACGTCGCCCACTTCTAGTTTAAATCTAGTGACTGACTCCGATGTTATGCGTTCTGCGTACAACACATAACTCGTACACGACAGCAACAAATTTGCTAGGCAAATGGCATCCAACGCTATCACGTTTCCTGAGCATGAGACACACGAGTCGGGCATGAATTTTGAACGGGAAGTGGCACTACGCCGCGCGATAACTAAGTTTCGGGAGCTTCCGATGTTCGAGTTTATTGGTAAATGCGAAGAAAACTGCACTACGACACGAA